TAATTACTTCTACTAAGACAAGACATATATATATATATATATAGATAGAGAGAGAGAGAGAGAGAGGGGGTAAACCTTCCAATAGGTGGGCAGCTATAATGAATAGTAATATAGGTAGAATCCCAGCCGTCAGACCTTCATCATGTGGTGCAAACTGCATATTACTATATGAAGTTTAATTTTTTTGTCTATAAATTTGATTAAGATGAAATTTTGGGTGTATATACCTAACACTATTGTGCACCATATAAAAATATAAAAAAAATTACTTTCAATCATTTAAAATGACCAAATTGCCCCCATCAGTTTTCAGGGGTATTTCAGTCATTTTATATTTTGGGAAATATTTTTTTTCTATATTTTTTAATTGTGTGCCCTATTTTTTAGTACACACATCTAAACTTTCATTATGATCCGATTTCTAGCAAAAATATTAAAATTCATATAGTGATATGCATTCTGAGCCACATGCTGAAGATCTGACGGTTAGGATTCCACCTATATTGCTATTCATTATAGCTGCACCAAATAGATATATATATATATATATATACATATTTTGTTCTCACACTACAATTCGTACTACACTTCAGAATCATACTCTCTGTTACCTGTCATGTCATCCGTCATTTGTTTTCTTGATTCTTCTGCACATATGGATGATACAAGCTGTATTTTGTAAGGAAAATGCATAAATATTTAAACTGTGGCATTACTTTAATGTCTATGCTTGGCTTCTTATTATGTATTTTCTTCCTTTCCTTTCCTCTTTGAACTTCGTATAAAGCTCCTATTGCTTTACGTGATGGAAATAAGCGCATAAATTACCTTTCCATGTTTGGTTGTTGCTGGGGAATTCATCAGTGGAAAGATTATTTTGACTGAGCAAGCATCTCATTACACAAAAATATCAGTACCAGAGTACTGGTTCATATGGTATCCCATAAAATTTGAGATGATTCCATGGTGCCTATCACAATATCCTGTTTTGTACCTTTTATATGTGAATAAAGTATGACTTTAAGAAAAGGGAAGTTTACTTTATGCTAGTGTTTAGAAACACGGGATTTGGAGTCGGGACTTGCTGCATCCCTGGCCATTTGCAGATTCGGCCGAGTTCTAGCAAAAAATAATAAAAATATTATGTATTGGCGAGACTCAGTTGGTTCCCATCTATGTTGCATGGATGTGGGTATGGGTGTCAGTGTAGGACACGGGTACGGGATGTTGGTTCTTCGTGCCCAAAAAATAGGATTCAGCGACAGGGCTATACACACACACTCACACTCACATTCACACTCACACTCACACTCACACTCACACACATACATATATACATACATATACAAACATGCGCGCACACACACACACACACACACACACACACACACACACATATATATATATATATATATGAAGTTTTTCTAACGGTAACACCCCATGAAATCCTATAGGTTACATATAGAAAGGGGGTGTGAAGTGCTAAAATTACTCTGGTTGCTCCTTTCTAAATCCTATTTTATAAAATGAATAATGGTAGTATTCTTTTCATTAGAAAGGGTAATGGTGATATTTGCACAAATGAGAAGGGTATGTTTTTCATCTTGAGAAGGGCATATTTGAAATAATCACCAAAAGACAAGGGCATTTGTATAATAAAGTACATGAAACTTCACTCTATAATTACCCTTATCTTTTAGTGAAAATATTAACAACACCCTCTATAACGATAAAATGCCCTTATTCATTTTAAAGATATTGAATAATTAAAAGGACAACTATAAAAATTTTAATTGTTCACACCCCTTTCTAAACGTAATTTATAGGATTCTATCGGGCGTTCATCATCATCATCATCATCCGCAAAGCCTTTTCCCAACTATTCATGGTGGCTACACGAATCCCAGTTCGCCACTGTGCTCTATCAACAGTCATTCCCTTAGTGAGGCCATAAATCTCCATCTTTTTCTCACTACTTCCAACCATATCCTTGTGGGCCTGCTTCTTACCCTTTTAAAGCCTTCCACTTGAAGGATTTTATAGTGTTACAGTTAGAAAAACTCACATATATTCCATTCATGATGATAGATGCTTACAAAGACTAGTAAAACATTCATTATATTTCATTCATGATATCATAGAAGATAAGAAGTGTCCGTAGAAAACAAGATGCACCATGACTCTAAAGTAATAAATACAAATAAAAAAATTTGCATGAAATATATGATAGGTCATAGATGCTTTTGATTCAACACCAAAATTGGAACCCCTATGGTTTGAGCCCAGCATGCTGTTAGGTCTACTGTATAATGCTTTGCCATAACCTCCCATTTCCCGAAATCACCCCATCCAACTGAGAGTCCAGAAGAATCCGTATCGGTAAGCGTGTCCATATGTCTCTCACACTGGTATGGGGCCCTTGTCGAACAATCCATGTTACATATGCTCCCATATGTTTGGTTCTGGACTCAGCAGTCTGTGGAGCCATGTACTCGCCCGAGTCAAGGTTCCAGCACTGCTTTTATCATAAGTAAACCAATATGCACAAGTATGTAGGTGCTACATGTACATTGCATTTCTAGTAGGGGATTGCTATCTACACCTAAGTTTTGCTCCTTGCACTTAATTTTTGTTTATTCCTCCCAAAACATTGGTGGGAATATGAGAAATAGGTGATGGCTAGATTCCAAATCGAGCTAATAAATGGGTCTTACAGCAAAAATATTGGTAGAATAGTAATGCTTTTACAAACATAAAGACATCATGGAACCTCATACAGAAATTACCATATGCTCTACTATTAGAATAAATGATGTTCTCACTCAATTTTTTATTATGCTGTCCAAAAACATATATATGGCAAAAAAATGGTGGAAGTAGCACTCCCTTTGTAACAATATATCATAGGACTTCATATAAATATTAGCAAATGTAATTCTATAAGGGCGCTAGCACTATGTTTTGACCAAAAGGGTAGATTTGGACTTGGTGAGCAGTGGGTTCTATATATAATTATGTACATCAATATTTTGGGTAAGAATCCTTGATTGATTCTTTCGAGGATTTATTTTGAGCTACCCATTACTAAAATAGATATATTACAGTAGTCACACAAGATTACCATAGAATGAGTCAAAGACATGGTCAGAAGGATCTCTGCAGATATTATAACACACCATCCCCTGCAAACTAATCTGATCAGTTTGGATCGTTACAAGTGAAAGCATCGCTACAGCAATCCTTTTGCGAAGATGTCAGGCAGCCGATCCTAGCTAGAAACATTGAACTTCGAAAAATACGTGTCGATGGAATTTGACTCTAGTTTGATGCTATGCTTAATTGACATTTGAGATGGAAAGCCATTGCGGTGGATTGCTAGGTAAAAGACCGTTCAAGAGCAAGCCAAACATCATGAGAAGTATGAAGACCAATTACTCGAGCAAGATCAGATTTTCATAGAGTAGTATTGATGCTCATAAGAAGCATTTGATCTTGAGGATACCACTCGGTGTACTTAACGTTGGCGATTGTAAGCTTCCCATCTTTATCTTCGAGGAACTGAGGGGGAGCGGGATATGCACCATCCACAAACCTATGAAGGTTTTGATAGGCAAGCAATGGCCGAAGTTGGTGGAACATTATAGATAATTCTCTGCCTTAAGTTTGACAGAGATAAAGTTTGTGATGTTGTTCACGAGAAGAGGAGTGGAAGAGTTTGATGTATCCATGAGAAGAAAGAAGAGAAGGAGAAGTTGTTGGTTGTAGAGTGAGAGAGATTCAAGTTGTTGGTTGTAGAGTGAGAGAGATTGATTTTGCTGGTTTTAGAGAGAAATTAGAATGGGTTAAAAACAAAGAATGGAAGTTGTGGAGGGAAAAGACATCCACATGGTCTTTATTGATCTAGAGAAAGCTTATAATAAAGTACCTAGAGATTTTGAGTTGGTAACTGTTGGAAAAGAAAAGATTCTCAAGACATTACATCGACTTGGTGAGAGATATGTATGAGGGAGTGCTATCTAGTGTATGAACAACTAGTAAAGAGACGATTGAATTTTTAGTGATAATAGATCTACATCAAGGGTCAGCATTGAGCCCATACCTCTTCATCTTAGTTATGGACGACTTAACTAGGCACCTATGAGGTACCGTGGTGCATGCTGTTCGCGGATGACATAATTTTGATTGATGAGACCAAAACAACGCCAACACAAAGTTAGAACTTTGAAGGTAACATAGGAAAATGGAGAGATTGAGGAAGATGTCACATATAGAATTAGTGCTGGGTGGGTGAAATGGAGGTGTACAACCGGAGTTTTATGTGATCGCTGCATACTGATGAAGCTAAGGGCAAGTTCTATAGGATAACTACAAGACCAACATATCAATGAAGCTAAGGGCGACATACCAATGAAGCTAAGGGCAAGTTCTATAGGATAACTACAAGACCAACATATCCATGAAGCTAAAGGCAAGTTCTTCGTGGGGCGAGGATGAGTGTTGTTGAGCTGAGGATGTTGAGATGGATGAGTGGCACATCAATAAGGAATATAATTTGAAATGAATACATTTGAGAGAGTTTAGGTGTGGCACCAATAGGTGATAAGATGAGAAAAAGTAGACTTAGGTGGGTTGACCATGTGTGGCGTGGACCCAGTTTAACACTTGTTAGGAGGTGAAAGTTAGTTCAAGTGGAAGATTTAAAAAAGGGCAAGACTAACATACCAATGAAGCTAAGGGGAAGTTCTTCGTGGGATGGAATGTTAGGTGGTCATGAAACAACATATCCATAAAATGAGTGTAGCTGAGATGAGGAAGTTGAGATGGATGAGTGGCACAACAAGAAGGGATAGAATTCGAAATGAATACATTCGGAAGAATTTAGGTGTGACGTCAATAGGTGATAAGATGAGAGAAAATAGACTTAGGTGGGCTGACCATGTGTGGTGCAGACCCAGTGTAGTACCTGCTAGGAGGTGGAAGTTAGTTCAAGTGGAAGATTCAAAAAGGGCAAGGGTAGGCCCAAAAAGACATAGTTGGAAGTAGTGAGAAAAGATATGAGGACTTATGGCCTCATTGAGCATATGGCTCTTAATAGAGCAGAATGGCGGACCAGGATTCGTGCAGCCGGCGTCAATTAGTTGGGAAAAGGCTTTGATGATGATGATGGAGGTTGCTAGTTTAGAGAGAGAGAGAGAGAGAGAGAGAGAGAGAGAGAGTA